AGGGTTGATGACTACATAAACAGTATTTCCCAGTCCTTTGCAACGAGAACAGCTGAAAATTTCACCCTGTTCTGTAGCAGCCTTTTCAATATCTTCAAAGGGAACTTCCCAAACTGCTTAAAATCTGGGTTAGGGCTAAAGAAAACTGTAAGTCAGTTTATATAACTATCATGAGAGCACATTTCACCTTGTTTTCTCAATCCCAAATGAAACTGCAAAAGATTAGAAAAGAATATTTCTATATCCTCCCATTCCCTTGCAATATGTGAATTCCAGGGAAAAACACACAGCCTATCATTCTAAATTCTGTTTGCTCTCTGGATTTCTGTTTATAATTTTAAAATGTTGCACTCCCAACATCATAACAAATAAGTAAAATGGGGTGTCCCTTCTAGTAAATTTTCAGAGTAGCTATTCGGCTAAGAAACAGTCACTTGTTTGTAAGGTAAATGATACAAGGAATGATCATGTTTTACATTATTTAAACTATCTACAAACTCAGCTTTGTGATCTTAAATACCCAGAAACAAAAGCTAAGTAGTGGAAGAAAGGGGTAGCCTAAGGTTAATTCAGCTCTGAAATGCGGAACAGATTCAGTGCTCAAGAAAAGCTAAGCATTCTGTGGCTTTAAGTGATGTGCTTAAGAGGAAATGTATGTGTAAATAAGCAAGAGCATTAATAATTGTCTCAGAATGCTGGCACTGAAACTTAAAGCAGTCTCTTTCTCTCTTCACCTTTTAGTTATTTACTATTAGGATTTTTTACAAATGTCTATTGAAGAAGTTCCAAGTCTGATGAAGGCATGGAAGAAATTCTTTCAAGCACAGTCATTTGTCTTAAAAAAAAAGATTAATGAGAAATAAAGGTGATGATGTTTAATCAAATGAGGGGCAATTATGGATGACAAATATAGAAACACAGCAAATTAAAATAATTCTTGCTGCCATATATGAGAATAGCACTAAATATCTAGCACCAGAGTTCAGGACTAATAAAGGGGTGGGGTTAAATATTCAGTCCAAAACTCAGGCTTTTCCTGAAGAAAAACCAAACATATAGCAACTATGCAGCTGTTGTCAAAAGACATCTATTTTCAGTTTGAGAGATTCACAATTGTGTGAACGGTCGTATTTTTTTCTTAGCGGAAGGGAGAAGGAAATAGTTACCTGCCTTGATCTTCAGAAAGTCTTAGAAAGTGAGGCTCGAAGTGCATTGCAAGATAAGCATAACCATGGCTAAAGGCTTGAACTCTTGTCCGCTAATCCAGTGGAAGGCTCCAGTCACTTCAGGGTAAGGTTTAGGACATTCCTCACTGGTGTTTTTTTTTTGTTGTTTTTTTTTTTGCATTGCAGAATGAAATAAACAGAAAGTGATTCGGATACTTCTCTGACAGTGAAAGGGACCAATTTCCTTTTTTCCTTTAGCTTTAAATAGACCAACAAATACAATAAATCCTTGCACCAGCAGGCATCCAGTTATTTTCTCAGTTGTAACAGGGACTGTTCATACACCTCACAAAATCAGATAAATCTTTTTCTCATTGAAAGAAGACAAACACAAAGATTTTACCAGCAGTGTTTGAACTAAATACAGCTTTAAATGCATGATGAGTTTTTAGCAGCTACACCAGCTACGTAAGACAAAATGCAGATAAATACGTTCTGAATTACTGTAACTGTTAGTATTTGCTAATGTAATGGACAAGGAAGGAAGTGATGGTATTCTTGAGGGTTATTTTTTTAAATCCTTTTTGTTGCTTGCGCTTGGCTAAGCTTACAGCATTTTGAGTGAAAGGTTATGGTTTCAGTTGTGAACTTCATACATATCTGGAAAAGCCTTTCACTTTCTCTTCTGTGATAACAAATAATTTGCTACGCCAGCTCTTGAGTTTTCAATCTGTTGAGCCCTCTCTCTTTCAAGTGCCTCCTGCCTGTCTCACTATATTTTTGGTGACCCCTCGGTTCATGTGTGCCCTAATGGAAGTCCCATCAGTTGCGTTGCCTTCGCTGAGTGCCTTTTGTCAGATCAGGACTTTGAAAGGCTTTGCTATTTTAGAAAGCAGAGATAATGTCAAGGTTTTTTGCCCATTCATTGATGCCAAATCATCAGTCTGGAATGACTGTGGGTCTACATGTTTTTATGTAAAAATTACTGTGATTTTAGAAGGCAGACTGCTCCTTCATTTCCTCTGTCCCCGCCACCAGAAAACTGAAGTGAAGCAGCTTTCTGAAACTCCCAATCACCCGTTTGCTTCACAGAGTCCAAATTTTGCCCCTTCACGCTGAGGATTTCAGAGATCACTCAGATCCTACAGGGATCCTCAGATCCTACAGGGTAGCAAGGCATCAGCTCCTCTCCCGAATCCCCGCTTCCAAGGCAGAGCTTCCAAGCGTTGTGCAATCGCCTCGGAGCCGCAGTCAGCTCCGCGAAGGGGCGGAGGGGAAGGAGCGCGCTGGATTCTGAATTTTGAAGCAGAGGTGTCGTATCGGGCAGGGGGGAGGGGGCCGCGGGACCAGATGCTGAAAACCGCACCAAAACTACAAACGTTTCTCTCTGTCTGTAGGAAATTCTCCCCCCCGCCGCCCCACCACCACCTTGATTTCATACTCTATCACGTGCTGAATTTTTTCTTTCTATTTCTCCCCCCGAAGCTTTAATAAAGTTTGCGTTAGTGATGGAGATCCCCAGAGCGCGTTGGAGGGAAGGAGCAACCCTGCAGCCGGGTGTCAGCCGGCGGCGAGAGCACGGCGGCGGCCGTGGCCGGGCGAGCCGAGCCGAGCCGAGCCGAGCCGAGCCGAGCCGAGCCGAGTGGCGGCAGGTCCGCGGGGCCCGACCGCGCCACTTCCCCGCCACCCGGGGATCCCGCCCCGGCTGGGGAACGCGCGAGTTTTTACCTGAGCTGTCGCTTTTCCTTTTGCCGGACCTCTTCTCTGTTTCCACCGGGGACAGAGCCTGCCTGCCATAGTCCCCTGGCGCACACGCTGCCCCCGTGGGGGTGTTGGTGCCCAGGCTGGAAGAGTTCGAACACAGGACAGGGGGGCTGCTGCCCAGCTCCGGGGGTCCTCCTGAGTCAGGCTGAAGGCAGAGGCTGTGCCTGGCCGCGGCGGGAGGAGACGACATCTGAGGAATGTGCCAGTTCGTCTGCAAAGCTTGGTGCTGCTGTTGCTGGTGGTGGTGATGGTGGTGATGGTGATGGTGATGGTGCCCCCTATGATGTTGGCTGGCAAACATGCCCTCCTCATTGGGGTATCCCGCTATTATGCAAGAGGAAGAAGAAGAAGACAGATCAGGGTAGGACATGTGGTCAGATCTTCCATGCAGTGCAAGAGAAGACTGGGAGAAAGGGTGCAAGCTCTGCGCAGTGGCATGGGGGCTGCGCAGGCAGCCAAAGAGTGTGTGATCCATGGCATGCAAGTCTCAGGTTCCAGGCAGGAGAGTTTAGGAAAGATCCAACTTCACCACCCTTTGTCAACTTTCACTGTAAACAGATCGGGGCTGGGATTTTTTTTTCCAAAACGGCACCGACAGGCTCTGCAGCAGGCAGCTGAGCTCAAATAATCCAGATCTTTAGCCCTAGTGGCCAGTCTCCGCTGCATAAACACTCGGACCTAGATGAGCCGTTCTCAGAGCTGCTCAGATGTCAAGAAGTGGGAGAGGTTGAAGCCAATAGAAGGTGGTCCCAGAGAACTGCTTGAAGGGGGAAACAGCTTCGAGAGGTTATAAATACAGTAGTGTGTAATGTGAGCTGGGGGCTGGCTCAGCAGCACAGCACTGACCACATGCAAACTCCCTCCAAAACGCCAGCGCCGTCCCCGCGCCGAGCCGCTCCGTCAGCGGGCGGCAGCGCTGCGCGCCCGCGCCCCGGGCGCCCGGGGCCTGGCGGGGGGGCGGCTCCGCGGGGGCGCAGCCCGCTCGTCCCTGCCCCCGCGGGCCGCGCCTCCCCGCGCGGCTGCCCGAGCCCCCCTCGCCGCGGGCGCACGGCCCCGCAGGCCATCACCGCCCCGTCGGGGCCGACGGGCCGCTCGGGGTCCCGCCGCCCCCGCGAGCGGCGGGCGAGGGAGCGCAGTAAAGACGTGAGGCGACGTGCGGGGGTGACTCTGGGGCGGGGGACGCGGGGGCCACCCCCGTTTCCCCGTTTCCCCGGGAGCTGAAGTGCTCTCGCCAGCGCCTCACCTGCGAGCCCAGGTGCGAGGGCGCCGGCGTGCGGGGCCGCCGGCTGCGCTCCCCGGCTCGGAAGGTGCCGGCGCGGGCCATCTTCTCCTCGCCCGCGCCCACCGCCCCGGCACTCGCCACGGGCCGCGGCGCTGCCCCGGCTGCCCTCCACAGCCTCACGCTGTGCCCCGGCATCGGCGGCTGGTTCTGCAACGAACCTACCGGCGCCCACCGTGCCAGCAAGGCTGGCTGCACAGAGAAGTTTCCCCTCTTGCCCTCTGCCCCTTCAAAACAAGAAGTCACATAACGTCTATTTGCTTTATCTTCATTTGCTTCGTTGCAAATGTCTTTAGTGAATTGGGGAATAACTTGGAAAGTTTGGGCCTGTCTTTTTATTTTTTTTTTCCTTTTTTAAAATCATTTTTTAACATGCGCGTAGTGGAATTACAGTAGCCACCAAGGCGTCTCTTAACTGGTTTAAATCAGGATAACGCATTAGTGATCAATGACCAAAGAGGTGCCCACTGCTCAGCGGTTTTATTCTCCAGCTCTTCCTACTCGATGTACCTTGCTCCTCCTTCCCCCCAAAACAAAACTATATTAAAAAAAAAAGTAGAAAAGGGAAACCATTTCTCTCAAGTCTAAATTCTTGGGTCCATGTGCTAAAGATAAAATGAATTTCAATTGCTAGTGGAAAAAATCAGCAATTGTATGACTTTTGTAAGAGCTAGTTTCTTAAACGGAAATTGAGTCCTATTTTGTGGGAAATTAGTTTTGCAGACTTTCTTAAAAAAAAAAATCTAAAACTTTTGTTCAGCAGCTGCTCCGCTTTTCACTGCAGTTTCAGACTGAGCTGGAACCTGCAGCAGTCTTTCGACGGTAAGATTTCCCCCCTTTTCTGACATCTAACTCTTTTTAATAACTGTCTTTAGATTTAACTGTAACATCGCGGTCTTTACAAAGAGAGCGGCGTCCAAAGCAGAAGTTGCTGCCTCTGTGCACCGTTCAAAACTTGATATTTCTTCAGAATAAAGGAAATATACAGTTACAACACTGATGAAATATTTTGTGCTTTTCATTGTGTTTATCGTTTCAATATGTGTTCTAATATTAGAAGAGAGGAATACAAAGAAATCTCGATGGCTGAGCCCCTCTTGAGTTTGGGAACACGCCGGGCTGGCAGCACAGGGGTGCTGCTGTCCCTCACAAACAGGAGCAATAACTGCGAGACAGCGACAGGCGCGGAGCGTCGCGCCCGCCGCGGCCCCGGCGGCGGCGGCCCGAGGGCTGCGGGGGCGGGCGGCGGCCCCAGGTGGGAGCGGGGGAGCGGCCCCGGGCACCGCACCGCTCCGCTCCGCACCGCACCGCACCGCACCGCTCCGCACCGCACCGCTGCCCTCCGCCGCTCTCCAACCTGCTGCTGTCCGCCACAGCTACGGGGGCGAGTCGCCGTCGTGGGGGCCGGGGCCGGAGGGGCTGGAATGCCAGCACCCCTCCTTCCAGGGCCGCTGCTGCCGCATCCCTCACACAGCCACAGCTGTGAAGAGGTCGGGGAAGTCCCGAAGCCAAGGCGGTGTAAAAATGCCTTCGTTCTAGGGAATGGCCATGCAGGATTTCTCGCACATGACAAAAAAAAAAAAAAAAAAAAAAAAAAAAAAAAAGAAAGGAGTGAAGTGAAGCACAATGAAGAAAGTGAGAGGGTTCGAGAAAGAGGGAGAAAGATAAGGTTTCCAAGAGAAGTAAGAAACAAGCCAAATAAGACATTTTAGGGAGAGGCAGAAGAGATTCCAAAAGGTGAAGAGAAGAAAAGAAAGAATGCAATAGCAAAGCTATAATGGCACAGCTCCGTGTTTGTCAATAGCTTCATATCCAAATCTGTCTATTCAGGAATGTGCTTCCCTGGGCTTCTGAGTTTCCAAATAAGTTCATAGGTCCTATATCAAGTGTTCTTATTACTTCTTTAAAAACCAGTGTTAAGCACACATGAACTGGATATGCATTTCACTGCAGAGCTTTATGCTTTCATTTCAAACTATATAAGGAGAATGCAAAAATAGGCAATTAATGTGAAGGCAAACAAACAGCTTCAAACACTTTCTGAAATTATTCCAAAAGTTTCTGTGCAGTTACCAAATACCTATGGCTATATGATAGCATCCTTTGTAAAAAAATTATAACTTTTTAGTTATAACTTCAGTGTAAAGCTTCTCAGTAATAGCAGAATAATTACTGGAAAAAATTGTAAGCAGTTGCTGCCTCTCAATATTAATGATTGAATTCTTGTTTGCATTGTACCTTTTCAGAATGTGTGTTTAACCTACATGTGGTACAAAAGCATAACTTAAATCAATGCCAGCAAGTTTGCCCAAAGCTTATAAACATCAAGTGAAAAAAATAGAATGTTTTAAATATGTGAAAACAGTAAACTGTTTAACTCATAAAAACATCTGGAGCCAACACAGTTTGGAACATCCTTTATATTTTCATGTATGGGCTACTATTTGCATTCACTTTGTGTTTCTTGGTTTTGCTGGTGGGTCGCTTTTGGTTTTTTAACTTACCATTCATGGGGAAGGAGATCATGTAAAATTGACCTGAATGAACCAGTGTACAATTCCTCCTTTTCAGGACTTTTGTAGTCTTTCTGATTTTTTACGTTGGAGGCTGAAAGAACCACCTTCCTGAATATTTATCAGAATGTAAGTAGGATTCTTGTCAGTTCTTTCTAGTGTGTGGTTTGCATATTTGCAATATGCGTATTACAGTAAAATCAGATAGATAAGTCATATTTGGGGACCATTTGAATTATATAAGTTGTCATAACTTTGCTGAAGTCAGCAAAAGGATGGCAATTTACACAATTTAAGAATATTTTCATTACTGTCAAAGGGAAAGCTTACAAATATGAATTCAGTTTCTTTTAGCCAAAGTTTTTATTGTACCCAAGAGCCTACCAAATAAGAGGACAGAGTTCTATTCTACTGTAATTATGATCAGTTCGTATTTTTTCATGGCAATTTGGTCAATGCAGGCATCATTCAACCTTAGAGTCAATCCAGATTCACAACAGATGTATATTTATTTTCAGTCTTTTCTTTTTTTTTCCGAATTTTTGCCAGTTTAACTCCCTCTGAAGCAATATAATTCGTTTCTCTTGGTACCTGTATGGCAATATAAACCCACAGATATAAGCAGTAATAAAGCCTGGGGATTATGCATTATTTCAGGGATGCTTGAATGCCTTAACTGAAAATCCTAGCAAAGAAAATGAATAATTGTTCACTGACTAGTCAAAAATACTGAATCTCTGACTAATTAAAATTGAAAATAATCACATTTACTATTCTAAACCTATGCTGCACCAGTATCTTTACAATACTTCATCATAGAAACATTTTTTTCTGATAAATTGCACTACCACAATTTTAAGATTGCATTTCTGTGGTATATTTCCATTTCACTCTCTATAGCGCTTACATGTGCCATGGTTTAACACTTATCAGACACAATTTTTGCTTTAAAGACAAATACAGATCTGTAAAAACTTTTAAGCCTGAATTAATATTTCCAGCTACTTCTCCCACATACATATGGCTTCTGTTCTTATTTTCATGATCTCCAAGCATTACAAATTTTAAAGTTATGCCAGCAATTTAGTATACTACAGAAAAGTTGTGCTGAGCCATGAGGCCCTCGCTGAAAATGATTTACAAGTTTGCATTACATCATTAAAAGTTATTTGAATTGCCAGCCCACTGTAACCAGTAAAATATCTTATGCTTCCTATTTAATTTAAATAAACTGATGAAATATTAAAATTCTGAATGCACTTGAGGCTTCACACCTGAACTATGCTGTTTCAGGAATGCTTTTAGAATTTGGGAAGCTATGCATTTCACATACTATGGGAAACTTGCATTTCACATTAGATACCCAAAAGTCCCAGAAGTCATATTCAAAACTTTGGAGTGTGTTTGTTTTAAATAAATAATTTATTTGAAAATTGAACAGTTTTGCACAATACATTTTTTTCCCATTCTGCTTGTTGCATTGTAATTAAACATTTTTTTAATTCTCTCTAGTATTATCTCCACTTAAGAATAGTTGAACTAGAAAACAGCTATGACTAGCTTTGTCGGGCACTTTAATAATACATATCTAAATTTGTATTTAGAAGTGTACTCAAAATGCATATGCAGGCAAGTCAATAATACCTGAAGAAGATGTTTTCCATTTTGTCGTCCCCAGATCTTGACAATTACACGCTATGCTCTGTCCATTTTCCTCATAAAATGAGAGAGGGAGAAAAAAAGGCTTGTGTTTTACACTTTAAGCATTTTATTGTTTGATACAATTCAGATTGTGGATTTTGATCTGTATGTGTATTTAAAAGACATTTCACTGGAGTTGAAAATACAGACACTATTGTGCATGGAAAAAAGGTGAAGGGCATTTTTATAATTCTTTATTTTTAACAATGCTTGCTTCTATCTATGCTGTAAAATTAATATTGTGTTGATTATACTTCAAGTCTGAGTCACCCAGGATAAAAAATACATATGATTGAAAACTTTGCGTATCACAGACTTAAGCTGTGACTTACATCGATTAACCGGGTAAATACGCAGTAGGCTTACAGTAACAAAACCGAAATAGAGACAAAAACATACCAAATATCTGAAATATTTATTGTCTCCTGGCTGACATTTCCAAGCCCTTGCAGGACCAGCAGCAGGGGGCATATTTCATAATTCTGCCTCCATCATTGGGAGAGTGATAAGTCACCAATTTTTGTCATCCCTTTTACACATTAGTGAGTACAATACTACTACAGTGTGTGCTTGTAGTAGTTCCTGATTTTCTTTGCTCTGAAGGGAGAAAAAGACGCATGGGCATGTATTTATGCTGCAAGAATAAATAATTACAAAATCTCTAGGTTTTAATAGCTGCTGGGATTATGTTATTTACTCTGCAGGTGTGTTTGCTATGATTTATAGTGTGATGAGCTCTAGACTTGGAGCAGAAACCCCTAACTAGCTAGTATTCAGAATAGAAAGATATTCACTGCCCCGCAGAGCTCAGGGTCTATTCATTCTGCCAGTTTCACATGGGAGTAATCTTGTGTTTTTACAGAGTCCTATTTGTCTTCATGTGATTTGCTTGACTAGAACCATTTTCAGGATTGCAACAGTAATTAATAATAGGTGTAAGAAACAAAGACCTAAAAATTGCTAATGCATAGCAGCATAATGCACCCCAAAATCTAATATCAGATAATGCTAACAACAGATACTTGATAGAAGAAATTAAATACAAAATCAATTTTGTTTGCAATTATTTTAGACTAAACTAAGGGTGTTTTTAGATGTAGATATTTTGTCTTGTGAAAGAATGAGAAGAATAAAAAAAAAGAACAAGCTAGACTTCCCTAAAAATATATGCCAAGAAGTGCTTAACTTGCAGATAAAGTTTCAAAGATTCAGAAAACTATTGGTAAGGCATTGGTGACACTAGAAAACATCAGTAAGTTCTTAAACGCAATGAAGAAACATCCAAGTGACATACCTTGAGAATTACACTTTCCAAAGCTGTGTTTGCATAAACTAATTTTTTATTTTATTTCCCCAAAACAGTATGCACCTCTACTGATGAGCTGTGAATATATGATACTACATGTTGAAATAAACCTTTCCAAGATATTTATGCTTGTCATGCTTTATTAAGCATCCTGCTTGCATATCCTTTGATACAATGTGATAGATCTCAGGTTGGGTTCAATAAAGTATTCCAGTAAGAGACTGAGGCACTTTCATATCAACTAAGTTTACATAGTGTACTCTAGTGCACTGAATCACTTTAAGTAGCCACCTTCCTCTCTTTGATTCGTTTTCATACATTTCATTTAAATTAGATGCCCATAATAAAAGCATGAAATCCATTTACTTGTATCCTTTTTTTTTTTTTTTCAAATGAAAAATGTCTAACACTGTGGGCTTAGTGAAGGTCAACTGCAAAAAGAGGTGTATTATTTGGCACACTTTTTACTGACTGAGACACATGCAATGTACAGCACATGGGGACAGTCTGGATTTGTGTAATTCCCTCATAGGTACTTTGTCCATGAACTTTAAGCATTTGTACATTTGAGCTGTAGAACGTATCACTTAGGGATTTAGATTTTATTTAATAACCCAAGTATATTTCAATACAAGATGGCAAACTAAAAATATTTTCCGTTTCACTGTTTCAAAAAAAGCCATGTGCAAAAGAACACAACAAAACGAAATTAACTCATAACATATGCAACTCTTACTTGTGCAAGAGCGGTATATGCCCCTAAATCCAGACTGCAGCATCTGGAGGCATAGCATGTCTCTAATGGAAGAGGAAGGCACGAGACATGTCAGCTTCTTGGCTGTGTTACTCTAAAAATCATGCCTCTTCCTTCTCAGTACCCAATGCAATTCCAATTAAAACTAATAAAACAGACACTGTCCAGGTAAACCGGCTTTGAAGAATTTTTACTTTTTGTGTCACTAATTGTAGGCAATCCATTTAAGCTGAGGTAGATATTTATTATATAAAAGAAAAAAACCTCTTGCATAAACCTCTTTTGCTTGAAACAAAGAAGTTTGAATCAAAACTAATATCCCACAGTGTGAGTCATGTGCTCTTAGTGCATCCAAATCTACACATTCCCAATTGTAGAAACAAGTTTTGCTGTTACTAAGATGACTTGAAGCGCTTCTTTATTATTACTGCATTTTCACCCATAGTAGTATTAGAGACAATGTATTCCTCATATACTTTTACTATTGTGATCAACTTGGTAGAATTTCTGAAAACATTTTAAAGAAACTCACCCTTAAACTGTTTTACAACAACTGTCTTCATACTTGACTTTGAGGAAGTGCTGAGTCTTTTCTTTTCCCCAGTGACCCCACAGGATCAATTTCTTTGTTAAACTATAATAGCAATTTTAAAAACTGCATGAAAACATAGATACTATTCTTGTGATTACAAAAAAAATAATTTAAACAACCAACACTATTGAAAATTGCATTTTAAAACAAGCCTGGTGGAGAAAATATTTTACGAACTGATTTTCAAATTTTTATTGCACTAAAACTGTTAAATTATCTGCTATAGAAGTTGAGATGTCTAATTTTAAATGTTCTTTCCTTGTTATTGTTATCACCTAGTCTCTTCTGATATATTCACAGCAAGCAAGGGGGAAGGTATGTCAGTCTATTGTAGTTATTCTTATTTGCAGAAAATACAAGTTGAAACTGCAAAACAGTTTTACAAAACTACTAAATTTGAAAATCCCATCATGAACAGCATGCTGGATGTATAAATACACATACGTGTATGCTGAAAGAAGATGTTCAGCTGTGCAAAAGTGCAAGCTTACCTCCAGGCTCAAACCCTTACTGTATGATTAAAACAAATCAGGTTAGTGCCCACTGTCTTTAAATCACAGGGAGAGTTCTTAGATGCATTATATTAAAATAGAAGTCTCACATGAAATCAAATGAAGGAGCAGAAAAAACTTTTTGTACAGATTACCAGAGAAAGTTCTGACTTCGCTTCCTAGCAGAGAAAAATGTTTGGGAATGTATCTAATCTAACACACCCTATAAAACTGTACAGTAGTCCCTAGTACAACAATGAGCTACATGGAAGACAGAGTCACATC